AACAGATCACTATGGATTTCATCACCAAATTGCCGAGGACTGCCAGAGGAGTCGATGCAATTTGGGTGATTGTGGATAGGTTGACAAAGAGCGCTCACTTTCTTGCCATCAGTGAGAGTTCTTCGGCGGAGAAGTTGGCGGAGATTTATGTGAGAGAGGTTGTATCTCGGCATGGAGTGCCGATCTCGATTGTTTCAGATCGCGATGTGCGTTTCACTTCCCGTTTCTGGAAGAAATTTCATGAGGAGTTGGGTACTAAGCTGCATTTTAGTACCGCATACCACCCCCAGACCGACGGCCAGAGTGAGCGGACGATTCAGACACTTGAGGACATGCTTCGAGCATGTGTATTGGACTTTGGGGGTAGTTGGGACACGTATTTGCCCTTGGCAGAGTTTTCCTACAATAACAGCCATCATTTGAGCATCGGTATGCCGCCCTTTGAGCTGTTGTATGGTAGGAGGTGTCGGACTCCCATATGTTGGGGAGAGGTTGGGCAAAGGGTAATGGGTAGTACAGAGATCGTGAATCAGACGACAGAGCAGATACAGCTGGTCAGACAGAGGTTATTGACCGCTCAGAGCCGACAAAAGAGTTATGCGGATAGGCGCCGGTCCGAGCTGGAATTTCAGGTCGGCGACTTCGTTCTCCTGAAGGTTTCTCCTTGGAAAGGAGTGATCCGGTTCAGGAAGAGGGGCAAATTGGGACCCCGGTTTATAGGTCCGTTTCGTGTGATTGCAAGGGTAGGCCGGGTAGCCTATCGGCTGGAGTTACCAGCAGAGTTGGGGCAGATTCACAACACTTTTCATGTATCGCAGTTGAGGAAATGTATAGCCGATGAGTCGGCAGTGGTTCCATTAGAGGATATTCAGGTGGATGCAAGCCTGAATTATGCTGAGAGACCAGTGGCTATTAGGGATCGGAAGATCAAGATTTTGAGGAACAAGGAGGTACCTCTGGTATTGGTTCAGTGGCAACATCGGAGGGGATCAGAAATGACCTGGGAGCCGGAGGGTATGATGCGGGAGCAGCATCCGGAGCTGTTTTAGAGCGAGACTTCGAGGGCGAAGTCTAGTTCTAGTGGGGGAGAGTTGTAACATCCGGATTTTACCAGGTATCTTGTAAATTTAATTTTGTTGAATTGTGAGGGGGACTCGGCGAGTTGGAGCTCAGACTCGCCGAGTAGGGACGCGGATTTGGGCAATGGAAGCGCGCCTGGACTCGGCGAGTCCAGGATATGGACTCGGCGAGTCTGCGCTGTGTAATGAAACCCTAAATTTCCGGGTTTGAGGCCTATTTAAAGGGGCCTTATGGCCGTCATTTGTGCTCACCCAACCCTCAGTGAGAGACCCTTGTGTTCTTGAGCGATTTGTGAAGAGAAAGGAGCATTTCTTGACCTTGTGTGTGTTATTTAGCAAGAAGAAGGAGACTCTAGGCAAGAGGAAGCAAAGGAGGTTGCTATTTCGTGGATTTGGAGCTTAGATCATCACTCTAGAGGTATGATCTCGGACTATTTTCTGTTTGGTGAAGCATTATGCAATTTAGGGCTTATGATGGTCATTTATGGGATGATTTGGTGCCCATTGGTTCCCTCCTTGAGTTGAGGTTATGGATCTGGACCCATAGAGGTCCAGAGAGTCTCACTCATCAAGCTTTATGTATGACAATGGAGTCCATGACCTTGTGTTGTAGTAAATGAGTCAAAAACATCATATATGGTCATATAGAGGTTGTATGTGCATCAAGATTGTAACTTTACGTGCTAAATGAGCTTGGAGGGACTGGATCTATGGATTAATGGACTGGATCTGACCTTTAGAGCAAGATTGAGTCAGTGCATGGCACGGACTCGCCGAGTCCGAAGAACAGACTCGGCGAGTAGCATGAATGTTGCCCGACCACACAGTGAGTGGCCTCGCCGAGTTGGGGAGGGTGGACTCAGTGAGTCAAGGGGGAGTCAGAATGGATCGGTGGATTGAGTCAAACTGGACTCGCCGAGTTGTTTTGAGACTCGGCGAGTTGAGTCGTGGTGGCCCCACAACTCATGCCAGGTGGAACTCGTCGAGTTGAGTGAATGCTCGACGTGTCAAGGGAGGATTCCAGGGAAATTGGTGTATACGCCCAGACTCGCCGAGTCGCCTTGGTACTCGCCGAGTCCGGTCAGAGTTGACCGTTGACCGTTGACCAGTGTTGACTCCTTTTTGATAGTCAACCTTAGAGATATAAAGTGTTAATTAGAAGCATATAATGTTATAGGAGGATTAGAGCTCGGAGGATCGAGCACGAGGGATTTCCAGGATTCGTGAGATACCGAGATACGCGAGGTGAGTCTTCTCACTATACTTTACCTTGAGTAGGTAACCAGAGTTATGTGATAGAGTATTTGTATGCTATGTATGTTGTGTGTTGTACTGCATGATTTCTATGTGATTTATGTGGTGCATGTTTATCAGAGCTAGAACCTGAGGGTTCACAGAGTTTGGGTGCACGGACCCACAGAGTTATAGCCTAGAGTGGCTAATATGTGTTATATGTGGTATTTTGGGGAACTCACTAAGCCTTGTGCTTACAGTGTTGATGTTATTTGTTTCAGGTACTAGTGATGACCGCGGGAAGGCGCCGGCTTGATCCGTATACACACACGTTCGGAGCTTGATATTATGATCTTGGGATTTTGTACTGTTTTGTTGGATAATTAAAATGGTTGTTTTTATGAATATCGATGGAATTATGTTTTATAAAAATTGAAAATTTTGTTTGAAATTTTCGGTGTTACAAGTTAGAGACGGGTAGAGGTCTTAATCAAATTGGTACATTACAACGAGCTGGTGATACTAGATGGAGTTCTCACCTCAAATCAGTTTCGAGCTTAATCAAAATGTTTAGTCCAACTTGTGAGGTTTTACTTAAAATTATTAAAGATGGCACCGGTTCAATCAAAGGCGATGCAGATTCAGCATATGAGGCTATTACTACATTTGAGTTCATTTTTATTCTTCATCTCGAGAAAGAAATAATGGAGATAACGGATTTACTTTGTCAAGCTTTACAAAGACAATCTCAAGATATTTGTAACGCATTGAGGCTAGTTGCATCTACCAAATTGTTATTACAAAAAATGAAAGATGAAAGATGGGATGGTTTGCTCTCTCTTGTTATGTCATTTTGTCAGGAACGCAACATTGATATCCCTGATATGTCTTCTCCATACTTTAGTAGAGGGGCTCGAGCTCGTAACGAGTGTAGTGATCATACACTTGAACATCATTACCGAGTGGATATATTTTTCGAAGCAATTAATTGTCAAATAATGGAACTCAATCATCGATTCAACGATAGCTCAACGGAGTTGCTTCGACTCTCAACAACTTTAGATCCTAAAAGTGTTGATGAGCCTTTTCGAAGTGGTGATATAATTAAGTTAGTAGATAAGTTTTATCCTGAAGATTTCAATGAACAAGAGAAAGTAGTTTTGAAGATACAACTTCAACATTATGAGATTGATGTCGTTCAACATGCAGATTATAAACTATTGACATCTATGTCAGAATTGTGTCAATGGTTGATAAAGACTAGAAGAATAGCGAACTTTCATCTTATTTATAGAGTAGCTAGTCTCATACTTACTCTTCCAGTTTCTACTGCTACAACAGAGAGATTATTTTCAGCAATGAACCTCATTAAAACAAGGTTAAGGAATAAAATGGAAGACGAGTTTTTAAATGACTCATTGGTTTTGCATTTCGAAAGAGAACTTGCTGAAAAGATTAGTTTAGAGACAATTATAGAAGACTTTAAAAATGCAAAAGATCGTCGCGTTCCACTTTGATTAACAATGTAACAATATTTATATTAGTTTTATTGTTTAGACTTTTGATATGTCATTATTTTGAACCAAATAAAACTTGTTAATATAATTTAATTATGAAGTTTTGATATGTTATAATATAGTTCAATTATGAAGTTTTGATTCCGGCCCCCCAAGCTGTAGTGCTTGTGTTCCGCCCCTGGTGATAAACTCATCAAGGATGAATCTAGACAAGTCCTTAAGGCATAATGAAGCATCTAAGCACCTTAACACACCATTTTGGCCCTATACTTGGTGTTTATGGTTTTGGGACCTCCCAAACCCGTGAACACCTTTATTTTGGTGTTCTTGGGACTTTTCTTTGGTATAAACATGTATAGCAAGCTTAAAATGACTCTAGGATAGAAGTACTTACATTTGGGGAAGCTTGAAATGAACTTTAAGTCCAAGAACACTAGTGTGTGTTCTTGGTGTTCTTGGTGTTTTGGAAAAACTAATTAAAACACATAAATGAATGGAATAAAGGATGTACAATCACTAGATTAAGTGATATACCAACTTGAAAGGCTACAAACACTTACTAGTTTGAAGATTTGGAATAAAAACTTGGATGATACTTGAGAGAATATTTTTGGAGTTTACTCTTTTGATAAATGGGGAGTAAACTCATGTATAAGCATGAGTTTACGGCTTTTTGGATGATTTTTCGACCCAAACATAGAAGTTTGGTCAGGTGTTTCTACTACGCAAAATGTTTGCGGTTCTTAAAAATCAAAACCCGAGACGACACTTTCTTACACCCGTTCGCTTAAAAATGATATTAAAATAATCAAACGAACTTTATATTTCTTAAAAATAAGAAATAATTACATTGACTTATGCTACGAAGTGATTGACTTTTAAAGTTTGACCGAATGGAAATTTCGGGTTGTCACATACCTATATTAATCAGGCAATTTCAAGATTCAATAACTTCCATTTAGGTAAAAACAAGAGGATCCCAGATGTTAAGAAGATCCCCTGATCTACCAGTTGCATGAACTCTATATGCATCGAATTGACTTGAGCCCCAACAACTCTCCACATTGATGCTATCCGAGTGTGCCAATTGAGTCTCGTGAATACCGATGAAAGATACCTTATGCGTTCTAACAAGTCTTCGAACCAATGACACCTTGTGATCTCTCCGATCTCAGGAATGTTTAGGGTTTGCAAATTGATTGGAAACGTTATTCTCTCTGCGATCACTCATGGTTTCTACAGGAATGGGATCTTCAATTGAGATGTCAAACACAATTTCATTCCCAATTTTAACTGTCTTCTTGCTTTCATTAAGGTCGCCATTATCTCTGTTTGAGTCTTCCACTTCCAACTTTCTTTTACTAGTTTGTAATACGACTACAAATGAGTCACGACAAACTTACATTGAATTTGGCTCGAGTTCAAATCAAATTACAACTTGGTCACGATTCAAATTGAAATTTTTTATTAAATTCAACAAATTTGAGTTAGAAAAACTTTACAAAACTCGATTTATTTATGGTTTTCATGAAAAGCGATAATAAACCGTGAACATATGAATGCAATTCACGTTCAGTGTAAACAGACATTAAAGATCCTAAAGGTGCAAGTACCACGAAATTACCCATAAAAATAATAACACAATCATAAAGTCGTGGAACATTAAAGCCATATATATTCCATTAAAGAATTATAAAAAAATAATATTAAAAATCAAAAAATAAAATAAACAATTACAAATTAGTTCAAAGTTTCCGATCACCACCGACACCAACACCATCACCGACACGGTCAACCGCTGCCCGTATTCTCCAGATCTGCCCGAACCCATTTCCTCTCTACTTTAATTTTATAGTCTTTAAATAAAAATATAATTTAGTAATTTACCAAAATATAAAGATTGTGCTTTAATAACTTGTACATTTCCAACATTTTTGGGTTCACTCAACTGTGCATGAGTTCTTGAGAGAAATTGGGACATTGACCTTTGTGGGTTTGTAAACAACAGCACAAGAAATCTTTCTATGGAACTTCGGTTTCACCAATTTTCCGAGCACATAAGCTTTCGCTTTCACCGTGAAATTCAGGTTCAACGGCACCGGCGCCGTCAGTTTGCCGTCCATGCTACTCCAGTTCACACCGCCGCCGTACAGTGGCACACCGCGGCCCTGTAAATTCACACTCACCAGTCTTTGTCCCTTTCTTGATTGATAAAACTTCTTGATCTGCAAAATACCCATTTGATTTGAGATCAAATTAGTGATAGCAAAGTGAAATTGGACTCAGATTAACAATACCCATTTGGGTTTAGATCAAATTAGTGATGATCATGTGAAATCGAGCTAAAATCAATGCTACCCATGTGAAAACGAGATCGAGTAGTGAAGATTTGGGTGGATTATTTTGAGACTTACAGATCCTGAAGCTAGAGTTAGCTCTGTGTATGCGAGATCGACTGGTGTTGATGATACATGAACTCCAAAGAATGTTCCCCGATTGTGGAAATTGAATTTGATTGTAGTATTTATTGTCACCATTTCTGTAGCGACTCCAGATGCATCAGCTCCAGCATTGACCACAAATTGATCAAACGAAATGCTCTACAAAATGATCAAAATTTCAGATCCCCAATTCGATTTCGCACAAATCAATCATACCAATTTGAGATTTAAGCAATGAATTAATGGAAGAAAGAAGAATGCGATGTTTACCCTCATTGTGATACTGGGTTTTTGAGGTTTGGCAGCAGCCCACAAAACGAGTGAAAAGAACGAGAATAGAACAAAAAATCCAACAACAAACGCCAGAAAATAACACCGGCGAGGGATTCCACTCCGGTGATCATCATCAGCAAGTCCTTCTTCTTCAATTGCATCAAATCCCTTTTCGCCTTTCCGAGGCTGTAGTTGATGGCTGACTTTCCTCGACCCAGGTCGGAGGGAGCCGGAAAACCGGGTGGAGGATGAGTTCCGGGAGTGGCGGCCCGGCGACCCGTTAGGACTTAAAACAGGTGTGGAGTGGAAGGAGTTGGTGGTCTTCTCGCCGTCGTGTGAGTCACGCGATGGACTCTGAACGAAATACACCGGCCGCCGTGGTGACCTCGTCGGAGACGATGCTGTCTGGCTGGTGACCTCCGAATCCGTTTTTGCATGCATTGACATTTTTTTAACTACTTCGATGTTCGATCTGAGATCCAAGAACAAAAGCAGCTATAGATTTATCTTCCTTACTGAGGGTTTGATGCTCTCTCTTTCTAGATTTGGACAAGAAGAATCATATGATAATGGAGGTGGGTTTTAGTGCGGAACTCTTGTGGGTGAAGCTGGAATTTTAAAGATTTATTAATATGGACAAAAAGCCAGACGTAAAACCACAACTAATATTAAAGAAAAAACACTATCTTTCAATAATTGGCCTAAGATTATTTTAGGTAACTATAACTTTTTTTCTATTAAATTCGGTAGCAAGTTGGGTTTAGTTCACGTGGGTAAAATGACTTAACAAGGTTTTTTTCTTTTTTTTTTTTCTATTTATTTATATTTATATAATTTTTTTTATATATTTGATCGTTTATGGTAATATGTGAATATATTTAACAACTGATAAACTATCTTATGTAATAATGATAACGATTTTCTAATATGTACCCTAAGAGCACATATAAGAAATATTAATTAATCACAATTATTACCATAATTAAATGTTAAACACATTAATTATAAGAAATATTATCATAATTAAATATAAAATCCTCTACTCTAATAAAACAAACCATTTATCTTACGTGCCATCTTCTCCATCTATCAAAATTTCAAAATAAAATACCTAATTTACCCTTCAGCTTTTAAAACCCCTAAACGTTGTTTACTCATCTGTTTATTCTTTAAAACTAAAATACTATTTAATTTTGGAATTTTGACATTTTTGATTTTGAAAACTAGATACTATTTAATTTTTAAATAAACCTTCGGTTCTCATCTACTTTTCTCCAGAAATCACAGCTCATCTTCCGCTAACGCATCTTCTGTTGCATGATTTAACCATGGGTTTTGGTTTTGGGTGTTTGGAAGATTAATTTCCTTTTTACATTTGTGATTCTTGCATAATTGTCTACTATTTCTAGGCTTGAGGAAGAAAATGAATTCTATACTTGAGGAAGAAAATGAAGGATGTGGTTTGTTTTCTTCAGTTAGATCGTCATGTCAACAACATTGTTTCTACTTCCTTGGTACGATTTGTTTATCTACTTCCTTCTTGATAAAACGATTCTTACAATTAGTTTTTGATTCTGATATATCAACAACCACAATTTTGATAACCAGGATCGGATTTGGAAACATTGGATGTTGATAAACGATAACCTAGAATCATATGTTAATATGTTTGGTTCGAATTTGGAGGAAGAAGGAAAAGAAAGGCAAGATTGATATTATTTTCAATGTTTACACTAATATTCAGGGTGTGCCCTATTTCAAAAATCTCATTTAGAAACTTTTGTTCCTCTTCTATTGTTACGTTTCAAAAATCGTAATTTTAGGGCTTTCAAAATTTGAATTCTCTTCCTTCATAATACCAAGAAGCCGATCAATCAGTAACCAAATCAGTATTTCTTAATTTGAATTCTCTTTAACCATTCCCCTCTCTTTATTCGTAAACCTCCAACTACTTTTCGTCAAGAGTGAATTTCCTTCGTGATTTTCAACAACGGAATCTCTCGGCATTGGATAGGTATTGATTAAGCTTAAAAACCCAATTCCTTTTATAAATGTGTTACATTTTATTTGACAGGCAAAGATTTTCAGCGACATATGAGCAGGTTTCCTTCCTTCTTCTCACTCCATATCTATAATTCATCTAATTTCAATTTACACTCATCAGAGATGAATCTTACCTACAAAATCCAATATCTATAAAAATTAAAAGAGAGAATCACCAATTATTCATCAGGAAAAGAGGATTCTGACAAGTTTATGGGTTTTGAGTTAGTTTGTAGTTGGCTGTAATTAATTCGGGTGGGAAGGTTGTGATTGGATTGAAGCACTTGGTTGTAAGTTATTTTATTTTGTGATTCCTTTTTTTCATGTACATATTACAAATAATTGTGATTATTCTTTATTATCTTCTTATTTCAGAAACAATTATATATAAGAAAGAAAAGAAAGTCTGTCCACTATAATATACAAATAAATGCACCGGGAGAAGGTTAATTTTAGTGTAGATTATACTTGTGTTCTTGGATGCCAAATTTGAGTATGTAGATTGTACTTGTGTTCTTGGATGCCAAATTTAGTTGAGTGCTTGTGTTCTTGAATGAAAATTTTAGTGTTCAAAGTCTTATTTTTCATCTTATGAAAATTATAGGTTGAGGAGATGGGTTGAAGGAACACCAGGAGCACCAAAATGAAAGTTCATTTAATGTTAGAAACTGTATTTATATATTTAATTCTTTTGCTATAAATGGTAAGTTTTGTCAGCCTTAACAATAGAAACTGGAAGTATGATGTTATTAATAAAAAGGAGGATGCTAAAATAAGCAAATACAGTAAATCATTTTAACCAATCATTTAGCTCTTTTGCTTTACTGTACATCTCACCGCAAACCTCCTTTTTCTTTTGAACTTTCATTTTTTTTAATAAAAGACCACCATGCCCTTCAAAAAAATATCCATTTTCCACACTGCACTTTCATTTTACAGATCACTAACAAAGTATCATTACAATAGAAGTTTTTATTAGCACTACTAACAACCAAAATACCATATTGCCGCCTTTTCTTTTATTTCCTAGACTATCCCATAGTTTAGACCAGACTTTCTTTCAAGTGTTCAGATCCCAAACTAACCACATTCAATTTATCTTATTAAAATTTCAGCTAAACATCATCATTAATCTTATCAACATGAATTCCCCACTTCCTCTTTACTTCATAATCAAATCATATGTAACCATTCGTAAAACCAGTAACTTTAAACCTTATATCTTCAAGAATAAAAATAATCACTTTTTTTGTTACCTCCTCTCTTGAAAAATATGCTATTCGATTCCCTCATATTACAATTCCTTTGACAGTTTACTTTATGGCTTATTTACAATACCCAATTTTTTTGAAATTTCGTCTCACATATGTTTTTAGGAGATTTTTTGTCCTTTCTATTAAAAAACAACTCTTTATAATTAAACATATTTGTTAGTGCTTGTAGTAAAACAGGGGTAATTGATAGTTGCGTAAAGGTTTTTTTATATGGTCATAAATAACAATGCACTTTCAAAGTACAATGCTATTTTACTTTTTGATTTCATTAGTTTGATTTTTTTTAGTTTTTATAAAATTATGCTACATTATACCATCTACATCACATCATCTATAGATATTCAAATAAAATTATATATTAATTTTAAATAATCAATATAAAAGTCTAAACAAAACTTATGTGTTATTAGTTTAATAAAATTTTATAAAATTTGTACCCGTGGTTTCCACGGGTTGTAACCTAGTTTATTAATAATCTCTATAATTAATGCATTTTACATTTAATTATGGCAATAATTATGATTAATTAATACTTTTTATATGTATCCTTAGGACACATATTAAAAAATCCTATAATGATAACATATAAACACATTTAACAAATTAAATGGTTAAATGTGTAAAAGCAGAAATTGACTAAGGTGTTGTTTATTTTTTTTTCTAAAAAATCTCTTTTAACCATTTATTGTTGCACCGTGCAACACTTGACCATCCGTAACTGTTTGTTTTTTTAGAAGACTTCTGACTTAAAAACTGTTGTGTGGTGCATCATTTGACCCTCTGCTTCAAACATCTTCACGTCTTACTCTAACTTATCGCAACAGTTTGTAGATGTTAAAAAACAAACAGACTTTTTACTGCATGTTGCAACCGTTTGGCTCCCCACTTCTGCTACAAAGGGTTGCAAAGGTGGTCCGCAGACTTCAAACATTTTCGTTTCGAAAAAACAAACAGCACCTACATGTGTACAAAACGATAAGTCATTTTTTCCCACTTTTAATAACGATTTTATTTTTTTATATTTATTTGTATTGTTTTTCCAAACATTATTTTTAAAATATCCATAATGATTGATTATTTATCTTATTTATAGTCTTTCGATTTTGACAAATCAATTTTACTCATCTATTTTTAGTAAAAACTTATTATCATAAATTTTCATTAAATACTGATCAATTCTAATCTCTACTTTTTAATTAATAATTTTTTTTTTGTAAAATATTTTATATAGTCTCTTATATTTTTTTTTTCTTAATGCTTTAAAATTATCAATACTTTTTTTTATACTTTTTAATTAGAAGTTTATAATTTTTTTTTAACTTTTTAATACAACACTCTAAACTAGTATTTAACAAAAAGTATTTTAAATATTATAAAACAATATTGAATTCTCATACACAATCTATAAAATGCTTTAAAAATATTGTAAAAGAAAGTTTAGAAATAATTGTTTAAAAGTTTTAAAAAACTGTATGAAAATGTAAAAATAGTAATAATAATAATAATAATAACAATAATCAAAAACTTGTAAGAAAATTTTAAAACATTTAGAAAATATTTGGTTTAAAAACATTTGTATGAAAATTATATGAAAGTATTAAAAAATAATATATATATATATATATATATATATATATATATATATATATATATATATATATATATATATATATATATATATATATATATATATATATATAGAAAACTACAATAAAGTCCCTACATATATAGAAAACTACAATAAAGTCTCTACATATTTGTTTCATAATCGATTTAGCCCTTATATTTTTTTATTCAATTAAGTCTCAAATACCGGTAATCGTATTCAATTTAACCCTTTGACCTGGTCAACGGGTCATCCAACTTTCAAAAATTACATTTTCGGCCCAGATTTCAATATTTATTATAAATTTGGTCCAAATTTTACATTTTTGGCCCATATTTTAAATTTTTTTACAAGTTTGGTCCAAATTTTACACTTTTTGCCCAAATTTTAGAATTTTATTATGAATGCATCCTAACTTTAGTCTTTTTTACAACTTTCTTTCTCAAAAGTTTGTTTCTAATATGTTTTTTCTTTAAAACTCATATTTATACAAAAAAACATATTTTCACATAAAAATCTTATTTTTTCTATATAAAAACTTTTTTTAAAAACTTTTTTGTATATGAAATATCTAATTATAAAAATAGGCTTGGATTATTTATGTGATTTCTCTTAAAAAATCAATTAAAAAATTAAAAGTAACCCTAAATTATACTATTAAATTATAGTTTGTCAAAAATAAGTTACACTAGTTACCCTAGATTAAAAATAACCCTAAATTATACTATTAATATAGATATTTTAATATGTGTTCTATTTAGTGTGTATTTTTTATGAGATTTTA